TGCGGCCACGTAACAGGACGGCCGGTTAAACAAACATATACCGCTGTGTAACACCATTTCCTTGCGTACAACGTAACTACCCTGCACAGCTATCTCCTGAGGAGACCGCGAACTAACAACGGCGCGGCCCGTCGACGCCCGCCAAATACAACTCCGCCCGAAATTCCGACGAATTCCCCATAATGCGATCACCGCCGGCGACGACCATCGCGCGATGGTCACACGGCCACGGATGCACCGTTGACACTAGGTCGTTACTGCTCGCGCGTCTCTCAAATTAACTCTTAACCGTAACCTAGCTTGCCCCCCGCCCCCCCGCACACCTCTTCAGTTCTCACTATGACATAGATACTGTCGTAATAAACCTCACCCCTGGCGCCCCGCGCCCTCACGCTGCCGCACGGCGAGACGGACCCGATCTCTGTGGCGATGTCCACCGTGCGAGGCCTCCCGCACGGGCTTCGCGGAACGGTGCAGTGCTTGCTGACGTGGCGCCCTCGGAGCTTCGCTGAACCGGCGGACATTACGATATCGCAGTCTAGCAGTACATGTGGCGGCGCCGCTGACCGATCGTGCTGTGCGCCTGCACTAGGTGCAATGGGACGCTGCGGAGTGCCCTCCCTGCTAACCGGCATCGGAGCGCCGCCTCGGCCGCCAGGTCGCGCACCTCCGCCTCCGGCGGCGCCACCGTACCAGCCGCGCGACGTCTCAAGCGCTTGGTTCGCCGCGCCGCCAGCCGCGGCCGCCGGCGCCGTCACCGGAGCGGGGTTCGGCTGGTCTCGAACTACAGCGCCACAGTGTCGGAGAATGTCACGCGGCCCGGCGCGCGGCGACGAGCGGAGGGAGAGGAGGCGGCGTCGCCTTGTCGGCATTGGCCCGGGCGGCGAACTCAGTAAGTTCGCGCGAGCGAACGCGCTCACGGCGGCCGTCCCGTCGCCGATCGAGCGCGGTCGGGACTCGCACGGCGGCGGCGCCCGCTGCCCAGAGTTTCGGTTGTTCCGAGCCCATTCAGACATAACCCCGCCAGGTGGCCGTCGCCAGTCGCACTCGCGTCACCACGCGAAAGATCGTTTGGCGCTCGGCCGCGTGCCTCGGCGCCGCGTCGGCGGTCGTCGGCGAAAGACGGCGCTCTCTGTTTCGATCCGGTCCGTCGCGAGTCCAGTTCATACCGCGCGATTGAGGGTTGCGAAACCTCACCCGACAGCAGGTCGCCGCGTCACGTGTGCGGCGTGCCTGAACGGTGGCGCGCCATCTGCCAGGTCCGGGCGACAATCGTCGGCGGCGCTGGCCGCGAGCCATGTGACTCTACGCATCGCCGCAGCCGGCTCCCGAACTAAGGATGACAGGTAGAAGCTGGCAGCTTGCTTCTGTCTCCGCCTCCGCGAGGGTGGCAGCACCCGGGGCTCCTCTCCGCCCGCCGCGCCGGACCCCCCGTCGGGCGCAGCCCTCTCCCGCCGCACTGTCGTCCCGTACCGCACGCGTACCGTTCCCACTCGGGGAAAAAAAAAAAAAAAGCCACACCGTACGCTCCGTCGACGTCGACGGGTCATGCGTTGATGGCGACATGCGCAACTCTCGCCGTCGCCCACCGGAGGCCCGGGCGCGACGCGCGGAGCGCGGACTGACCCGTCGCCCGGGTCGGCTCGACGTTCGCGGACGCTCGCTCGATGCGCGGTCCCACGATGCCGCTGCTGCGCTACAAGCGAGAACGTCTCCGCCGCCGTGTCGCTCAGGTCGCGCAGGCTGCCGGCGGAAGCGACGTGCGGAGAGCGCACGCGGCGCCGCGCGCGACGCCTCTGCTCGTCAGCGATCTTCGCCGTGCTCGGCCGCGCCACCCGTTAGGTCGGCAAAGCTCCGGTTGCTCGCGCCACCCATACGTCAGTCTGATCGGAGGGGCTTGCGTGCTTGTCGCACGCCTCTCGTGTTTTAGCGCACGAGCCAGCTCCTTGATCCGTCGTCGGCCCGTCACTCCGACCGCCGCCGCGAGGAGCCACCGGAGGCACGCCGCGGCGGGTGCGCGTTGCGCGGGCCTCGTGTGTTATTAAGGCCGTGGACCGGACGCGATCCAGAACCTTCTGAGTACTGGGATCGAATCGATTGTTCGCGCACCGTCGGACTGACACAGGCTGGGACGACTCGCAGACGGCGACCTTAGGCCGCTCTGGAAAAGTCAGCGTGCGCGCGTTCCTCCCGACCGTTGCCCGCTGGAGCACCGGGAGCGCCTGTGAACGTGGGGGTGAAGGGCGCCGGCTCACTCGGCGCCACCGGATGCTGGGGGTGAGATCGCGTGGAGTTCGGCTCGCGGGTGGCATGGTGGCGTACTGCCCTGCCCGCTGGACAGGTTCCTGGGTTTCCCTCCGTTTGACATTTTTCAGTGTTTTTCAATGTGTCTTCAAAATATTTTCGCAGGCCGACAGCAAGGGTCTACAGGTGGCAGCTGGACGCTTGAGGCAAGCGCCACGCGGTCGCGCCGCGGCGTGCGCTAGCGCCAGCCAACGTAGCCGACGCAAACCCCAAAACACACCGCAACTGCCTAAGCAATGACCGCTATGAGCTGAATCAAGGACCCGCGTAGAATAACATGTAAGACACACACCTGAAACACACAGAGTGAAAAACTATGAAACGACGAGTCGAAAAACGACACGGACCACACTTCACGAATCAGGTTTTTCTACGTGTTCATCCTCATTGCGCCTTCTGCACCTATATCTAGAATCCTACCTGTCGCTCTCTCTCAGTCTTCACTCTCTCTGCACTCTCTCATCTATAAAGTACATATATATAGCTATAAAAGTTATATTATCTATATATGACAATCTGCGAGCTATCCTCACACTAAACCATACAAACCTTGAGCGCAGCAAGCGAACTATATCGACCGAGCCCAGCGAGCGGACGCGCCCTTTTGAATCGCGTGTCTACGCGCCGCCACGCGACGCGAGCAAGGCCGCGCCCCATCGTAGTCCGACGCCGCCCTCGGCTGCGCGACCAAGAGCTGATTCGGTTATCAGCTCCTACCATCAAGGCATTGTTAATTAATTTAATAAATATTTATGTACAAGAACAGGTAAACCAGACGTCGTGCACCTCATGAGAACCCTCAAAGCCCCTCGCCCCGCGCCTGGCCCCGTCGCGCTAGCGTCGCCTCTCACTGCTAGCCGAAGCGCGTCGGCAGTGATGCACGTTAGGTAAGCGTACGCTACGGTAGAGGGCGCTTAGGTGGTGTGCTGGATGGCAGCTGCTTGCTGCGTGCGTAGCGCGCGCCCATGGTCCCTGCTTCGCTGTCTCCCGCCTCCATCGCCTGCTGCGTGCAACCTCATATACGACCACACAGATAAAACACTAAGGGTTAGCCATCAGTTAGGCTCAAGGGCGTAGCCAGGAAATTGGATGGGGGGGCGCTATCTTGTTTTGTTAAATAAAAAAGTGCTTAAAAATCAATTTAGACCCTGTTTTGTACAATCACATTATCTCTGCGCTCTACAATCGGCACTAACCCTGAAGGCGTAGCTGTTGTTGAGCTAAAGCGTTTTTTGTCTGACTGACTAACAAATTGAAACAGATACGGCAGGGTTAAGACTAGTAAGTAAGGCTTCAGTAAGAGTGTTAACACAGACACACGTGTGCTGAAGAGGTCGTTGTCGTATCAGTACGACAGGATAGGTACCCGAGTAAACATAGATGTAATACACAAAGTGTGAACAGACTTGAACTACAAGAAGTGTACCCTAATCCCTACCCTAGCGCGACTTAACCCTAACCCTAACATACCTCGTAGGCATATCTGTCGTAGCCTGATACACACGACCCATCTGCCTTAGTAGTGAGTGATGTATGTGTGTATGTAAGTAGGGCGCCTAACTCTAGTGATCAACAGCTGGATGCCATCAAAGATACAATAATAGAAGAAGAGTATGCAACCGTTTTAACAAACGTTTGCATAGATTTTTCAACTTGTAAATATTCTATCAATAGTATACATGTGATAAATATATTCAAACTTACCTTATTTGTCGTCTATGATTCTATGAATATAGATTTTAAATTATATTAGTTGAAAACTATGCAGAAACGACGTTAAAACGTGTCCATATCTCTTCCCACTATTATGTAGCTCTGTAATGTCCACGTGCTTTGATGAATACCTGCTGGGAACGAGTACAACGTCTGTCTTCTCGCCCCTCCTCACCATGCATGCTCTGATGATACACCTTACCGATGGTAGCCATTTCTAGTGCTAGAGCCGAATTTCGTGTCCTGCGGTAGGACTCCCCTCCCCCGCCGCAACCCCTGCTTTGCACTGTACAACCTCGCCCCCCAGCCAGCCCCGCCCTCCCTCCAATGCATGCTCTTACCGATGGCAGCCAATTGCTATTGCTAGCATCTTCTGTCCCCGTGACGACTCCCGTACTCCCGCCCGCAACCCTCTTGCAACCTGTACAAGCACCGCATCCGCCCAGCGCCGCCGCCCCCTTCCCACCATGCATGCTCTATATACACTTACCGATGGCAGCCATTGCTAGCGCTAGCGCGGTCTTCGTGTCTCCGTACGACTCCCGGATCCGCGACTGCTCCACAAACTGTCAGCCTCCGAACACAGACTCTCGCACGCATCTGCACACAAGCCGTCGCCACGGTTACCGACAGTCATCACGATGACAGAGAGTCGCCATATAATTACTGACAGTCAGACAATAACGGTTAAAGTGATTACGTCACCGTAAATAGTAAAAAGATTAAAAAGTATGATCTACTTTTCGACAAAATAATAATGTAATTCTGTTCCACGTTTATGGTTACAATTGCTGGCATTATACTGTCCTATTTTTGACTATATTGTCGAGTGTGAACATACACTGCGTGACTCAGTAACATTGCCGCGATAGCAAGCAGTTAAATGTCAGGAACATAAATTATTCAAATCGGCCAGGTTTTGTGGATTTTTTAACTAGTTGAAGAAACGAATCTTATCAGGTAAGAAGGTTTAACGATACGTTTTAGTCCGTTGAGTTCTTACGTTCTATGTTAAAAAAATCGGCACTAAAATTTTACAAATTTTACCATAGAAAATTCGTGACGTAGTCAATTTAAAGATGGCTGCTATGGGTACAAATGTTTGCCATCATTACGGACGGTCACAAGGTGTTTTGAATGTCACATAGTGATTAAAAGACCCTATAAGACCTATCTCTACTAGCGCCTATGATGATCCATCCTCTTTGCTAAGGAAATTTATTGCGAGAAAAATAAATAACTATTTGGTAAAATTTTTAATTGGACAATTAGTTCCATACGACAAATGAATAATAGGAAATTATTATAAATTAATAAGCAGTCAATTATCAAATAAATTCATTAGCAGCGCAGGTAGCGAGGTAAGTTAGTAGGCAAGCAGGCAGTAGTAGGCGACAGCAGTCAAGCAAGCAGCAAGCAGGCAGTAGCCAGCAGCAGTAGTTAGCAGCAGCATAGCAGTAACACACAAGCAGCAGCAAGCAGCAGCAGCAGCAAGTAGCACGCAGTAGTATAGAATCAGCGAGCATGGCATCGGTGCAGCAGCAGCACGCAGCAGCAGCGAGTAACATAATCACTCACAACACTTGAATCAGCGGTTCCAGATGACAGCTTTCGTCACGGGATCGGGCGTACTAAAGTCTGTCACGTGATGCTCCGGCCCTCCCCTTCCTCCTCTTCCTCCTCCGGCCTCCTCCGCCCACACCTCCTGTCTCTCCTGTACTCTCTGCAGCCTCACGGTGGCGCCCCCTGGCGGCGGGGTCCCGCACGACGACGACGACACGCTCTCGAGCGACGTCAGCGAGTTGGCGTCCTCCGCGCGACACCGCACGGCGCCACCGCCGCCGCTCGACAGACTCGCGAAACTCTCCGCGCTGCCGTGCAGCCGCGAGTCGACAAAATTGTAGTGGATCGCGCGCACGGGCGCGCCGGCGCCCCCTGGCGGCGCCGCCTCGGCGAGTCGCCGCGGCTCGACGGGACCGCTGCTGCGCTGGACGTACCACTGCATGAGCGCGGTCATCGAGTGGGCGTGGCCGGTCCCGGGGGGGAGGGGGAGGTCCGTTCCCGGGGGGGACTCCGTCGAGGAGCTGGTGCTGCCGGTGCTGTTGCGGTCGCCGCTGCGGTAGCCGGAGTCGCGCTTCGTCGCCGCGACGACCGCGTCCGGAATGTCGACGCGCAGCTCCCCCTGGTAGCGGCGCCGGATCGCCTGCTCGGCGAACGACTCGATGCTGCTGTTGCTGCTGCGGCTGCCCGGCGCCACCTGGTGGGAGGCGACGGCGGCGGGGCGCAGCTTCCGCTGCCGGCTCAGGATGCTCTCCACCGCCTTGCGGTCGATGTAGAGGTCGCCACCGTCGGCGTCGTCGTCGTCGCGGTAACCCGCCGCGTACGCCGGCGCCCCCTTGCGCGGCAGCGTCGAGCATCCGCTCTCGTGCTGGCCGTCGGGCGGCGCCGCCGGCTCGTTGCCGTGGCAACGCGGCACGTGCACGCCCGCGCTGTCGTAGCTCTGGTTCAACGCGCCGTTCACGGCGGAGGCAGCGCCACCTGCTGGCGGCGCGTGGATGCTGTATCGGACGACGTCCGCTGGCACGCGGGCTCCGCGGAAACCTTCTGACCTCTGACCTTCGGTCGGCAGCGGCGCGAGGGGTCGGGTCGTTGCCGCGGCAACCACCTCGACCGCGCGGCCGTTGCGGTAGTGACCGGTTCCGGACAGGGTGTACTGGAACTCGTCTGCAGACGGGCGGGGATTCCAGGGGGCGCCGGGGTAGGAGTAGAGCGGCCGCGTGGCGTCCTCCTGCTGCGGGTCACTGAAAAACACAAGAACGTGCTCCCGATGATGTCACCGCCAGCACTAGACACGGTGGATGGGGATGGTTTCTCGTAGGTTGTGAGTGCGTATGTCACAGGCACTCTTACTTTCTACTAATTAATTTAATTAATTTATTCATTATTAATCAAAATTATTAATTTTAATTATTAATTCTTTTCATCTCTACGTTTACTCTACAACCAAAACTCTCTAGTAGTGCGTTCGATTTGCTTCCCCAGAGCCACCTGGATTAACCTGGGTAAGAAATCGAACACATATCTGGGGTAGGGAAGATAAACGAACGGTTTTTGGGTTAACCCGGATTAATTATCATCATGGATGCCAGTGACAAATATGAGCCGTATATTAGCTCTAGATATAATTATTTCTAGTATTAAGCTCTAAATATATCTCTTTACATTAGCTCTAAATATATCTCTTTACATTAGCTCTAAATATATCTCTTTACATGCCTCCGCCGGCGCCACCTACCAGCCGGCGCGACGTCTTCAGCGCGGGTTTCGGCCGCGCTCCAGCCGCGGCCGGCGCCGACGTCACCGAGTCCGCGTCGCTGTCCGAACACAGCGCCACCTGGTCGGAGAATGTCACGCGGCGCGCGGAGGAGGAGGAGGAGGAGGGCGGCGTCGGCTTGTCGCGTTGCCGCGGCAACGTGCAGTAGTTCGCGACGCGCTTCACGGCGGCGTCCGTCGCCTCGAGCCGCTCGGCGGCGGCGCCCCTGCCGCAGATGTTCGCTTGTTTCGAGCGCTCGAATATTGCCGCCATCTCGCGCACGTTCACGCGCGGCTCGTCCTCGTCCGCGTCGGCGTCGTCGCGAAAGACGCGCTCTTGTTTCGACGCGTCGTCGCGTCCGTTCATCGCGCAGGGTTCAGAACTCACACAGCAGGTGTCGCCGGCGTCGCGGTGCGCGTGCGACGGTGGCGCCATCTTGCAGCGGGACATCTCGGCGCGCTGGCGGGCGAGCATCTCTCGCTCGCGCAGCCGACTCGTGAAGAGAAGCTGCAGCTGCTTCTCCGCCTCCCGCGAGGTGGCGCCACCGTCTTCCTCCGCCGCCGCCGCCGCGGCGCCCTCTCCCTCGCGCACCGTCGTCCCGTATCGCACGCTGTACGTCCCCTCGGGGGAGCCACCGTACGCGTCCGTCGCGTCGACGTCGATGCTGTTGATGCGACTCGCGAGACTCTCGCCATCGCCACCAGGGGGCGTTCCCGTCCCCGTCGGCTCGACATCGCGGACGCTCGCCGAGCGCGGTCCCACGATGCCCTGCTGCGGCGACAAGCGAACGTCCGCCGCCGTGTCGCTCAGGTCGCGCAGGCTGCCGGCGGAGAGCGAGTGTGGGAGCGCAGCGGCGCCCCCTGCTGTCAGCGATCTCCCGTCTGCGGCCGCCGCCACCCGTAGGTCGGGCAAGCTCTGGTTGGTCGCGCCACCGTAGTCAGCTGACGGGAGGCTGCGGTGCTTCGCACGCTCTCTTGTTTTTAGCGCACGAGCCAGCTCCCCCGTCGTCGGCCTGCGCGCTCCGCCGCCGCGAGGGGGAGCCACCGAGGCGACGCCGCCGCTCGTTATCGTCGACGACGACGAACTGTTCGACTGGATCGACGATTGTCGCGAGTGACCCGCGGCGTCGTCATGGCGACCGGGCTGCAGCTGCGCCGGCCGCACGGTTGCCGTGGAGACGGGAGCCTGGAACGTGGTGAAGGTGGCAGCAGGCTGCACTGGCGCCACCTGTGGAGGTGACTGCGTGGGTTGGCTGGCGGGTTGCGTGGCGTCTGCTGCCGCCGCCGCCGCCGTCGCTGCTGCTGCTGCCACCTGTAGGAGACCCTTGCTGTCAGGCCTGTGAAAACACATGAAGACACATGAAAACACATGAAAACACAGGAAAACGCGTGAAAACACACGAACACGTTCACGTCAGTGTTTTTCTTACTGTTCATTCATTGCGTTCTCTCTATCTCTCTCTCTCTCTCTCTCTCTCTCTCTCTCTCTCTCTCTCTCTCTCTCATATATATATATATATATATATATTATAAGCATTAATAATAAATCTGCACAATTATCACTCACACTAACACTCATGACAAACTCAGCGCACAAACAATAACTCACTGGAGCACACGCGCGCCTATTGACGAGCTGTTACGGCCGCCCGCGCCCCCCCGCCCACCCCGCCACGCCCCCGCCTCCCCTCTGTGATGCTTGTAACCGACCATCTCAGCATGTATTAATGAGTAATAGGCCTCGCCATCGGCCCCGCTCCCGCCCTGCCCGCCCCCGCCCCGCCCTCACCTGCTGGAAGGCTGCTGTATGGAGAATGCCGTTATGCTGTAGGCTGCGTACGGGTTTGCGATGCCACGGCTGCTGCTGCGTGCGCCGCCATGATCCTCTGCTGCGTCTCCGCCCCATCGCCTGCTGCTGCAACCTATATACCCACAACAGATAAATACACAGGGTAGCCAATCAATGTTTAGGCTAAGGCGTACCAGGAATGGATGGGGGGTCCTTTTTTTTGTTAAATGTAAAACAGTGCTTTAAAATCAATTAGACGCTGTTTTGTTGACAATACTATTTCCTTCTGCACTCCACAACGAAGACACCTACCCGACCATGCTGTGTGACTAACGTTTTCTGATGACTAACCACAATTTAACAGATACGCAGGGTTGACATAACGTAGCTGATAGAAGATTTAACACACACACTGTTGCTGAAAGGTCGTTGCTCGTATCATGGTTTACTAAATGATATGTACGCCGACAGTACATATATGTTACACCAAAGCTGTATCAGACTGTACACAAACGTGTACCTAAACCGCCTAGCCTAGACTCCAACCTAACCCTAAACATACTCCGGTAGCATATTGCTGAGTAAACTGTATAAGACAAAATTGTTAGATAGTGGAGTGTTATGTGTGTTGAAGTAAGTAGGCAACCTGTGATCAACAGGCCTGGATGCATAAGACTACCAGATAGTGGAGAGGAGTATGGCACCGTTGTAAACCCAGCGTTTTGCATAGTTTTTCAACCTGTAAATATTTCGTATCCAATAATATATGTGAATAAATTTTATCAAACTTGACTTATTTTCGTCTAATGATTTCGTGATGAATTATGATTTATTATATAGTTGAAAACTATCCAAACGCTGCCGTAAAACGGTGTCATACTCTTTCTCCTATTAGTGTATCTTAATTATCCGCCTGCTTTGTGTAATACACTGCTGCGACGTACAACCCCTCCCCCTGGTCCCACCATGCAGCTCTATATACACTACGATTAGCCATTCTAGTGATAGACGTCTTCGTGTCCTCGTAGATCCCTCCCCGCCCCCAACCCCTGCTTTGCACTACAACTCGCTCCCCAGCCAGCCCCTCCCCCTCGCTCCTATGGCATGCTTTTACCGATGGCAGCCATTGCTATTGTAGGGCCAGCTTCGTTTGTCCCGTACGACTCCCCTCTCCCGCCCCAAAACCCCTGCCTGCACTGCTCACAACCCCTCCCCCAGCGCCACCCCCCTCCACCATTGCATGCTCTATATACACTTACCGATGGCAGCCATTCCTATGCTTAGCGCCAGTCTTCGCTGTCCCGTACAGACTCCCGATCCGGGCCGATCTGCCTCCCTATCAAACTAGTCAGCTGCGAAACAGAATCTCGCACGCATCTGCAAAAGCCATCCCTACGGTACCAGACAGTCATCACGATGACAAGAGTCGCCAATACATTACTGACAGTCAGGACATAAACGGCTTAATAGCTGATTACCGTTACCGATTAAATAGTAAAAATTAAAAATAATTCTACTTTTCACACAGAATATAATTAATTCTGTTCACGTTTTATGGTTCTAAATGCCTGCATATATTTCCTATCTTACTTATATTGTTCGATGTGACATACACTCGTGACTCATACATTGCATAGCAAGCAATTAATGTCAGATAGCATTTTATATCAAATCGTCCAGGTTTGGCATTTTTAACTAGTTGAGAAACAAATCTTATCAGGTAAGAATTTGACGCATACGTTTATAGTCCTATTCTTTATTCTAATGTTAAAAAATGGCAACTAAAATTTTACCAATTTTACCCAATAGAACAAATTCGTGACGTAGTCAATTTAAAGATTGGGCCGCTCACGGTACAAATGTTTGACCAATCATTATGGCCCGTTACAAGGGTTTTGATTTCACAATAAAGTTTGATTAAACACCTATAAACCATTCCTACTACTGCTATGATATCACATCCTCTTTGCTAATGGAAATATTATTGCGAGGAAAATAAATAAACTTTTAGGCTAAAATTTTTAAGTTGGACAATAGGTGTATACGTATCTAGTAGTGAAGGAATTAATATTTGGAGATTATTATTAAATTCAATAGCAGTCAATTATCAATAAATCAATAGCAGCAGTAGCGATAGTTCAGTAGCAGCAGCCAGTAGAACAAAAAAAAAAAAAACACTAGCAGCAGCAGGCAGCCAGCAGCAGCAGCAGTAGTAGCAGCATAGTAGCAG